ATTTTAAATTTGAAAATTGTGTTTGTATTCATCCCCCCCTTCTACAAACTGTTTAGTATTCTTGTAGACCCTTTTGGGACCAACATATACCTTGGTTGACCTTGAAGTGACATTTTTCATAATTTAAAACCAAATTAGTTTCAGTGCACCTCTTTAAAATTTTGGTCAAGTTATCTAAGCATGAACTAAACGAATCACCATAAACTGTGAAATCGTCCATAAAAACCTCAACAATATTTTCTACATATTCTGAAAATATACTCACCATACATCGTTGGAATGTCGCCGGCGCATTGCAAAGACCGAAAGGCATCATCCGGTAGGCGAATGTACCGAAGGGACAGGTGAACGTGGTCTTCTCTTGGTCCTCTCTTACCACCGGTATTTGATGAAAACCTGAATAACCATCCAAAAAACAATAGTGAGTACGACCGACTAACCTTTCTAACATTTGGTCTATGAATGGAAGGGGAAAATGGTCTTTCCTAGTTGATGAATTAAACTTACGATAATCAATACATACTCTCCACCCGTTTTGAACACGGGTGGGCACTAACTCACCTTCGGCATTCTCTACCATAGTAATGCCAGTTTTCTTAGGAACTACCTGGACCGGGCTTACCCACTTACTGTTAGAGATTGGGTAGATCATATTAGCATCCAAAAGCTTGAGTATCTCCTTCTTGACGACTTCCATCATCGGTGGGTTCAACCTCCTTTGCGCCTCTCTGAATGGCTTGTACTCGTCCTCTAATAGTATCTTGTGCTGGCAAAGTGAGGGACTAAGGCCCTTAATGTCGGTGATGGTCCATCCAATCGCCCTCTTGTGCTCCTTCAAAACATCCACAAGTTCTCTCTCTTCCTTCGGTGATAGTGTGGCCGATATGATCACCGGAAGGGTCTCTTTATCCCCCAAGTAGGCGTACTTCAGATGATGTGGTAGCGCCTTCAACTCTAGCTCAGGTGCCTGTTCAACAGAAGGCAAAAGTCTAGTGTGAGATATAGGTAAATCTATTTTAGAGACTTCATACCTTGACTTTGGTACTCGCCCTTTCTCCATCCAAGACACCAATTCTGCAAAATCATCATCAAGCTTGTACTCTTGGGCAAGCTTCTTTAAACTTCCATTCGTTAAGTCCCTGTCTAGAATCACTTCTAACACATCCTCATTAGATAGATCAAACATAGTATCAGATAAAGACTCGATAATATCAACAAAGCATAAAGACGAAACATCACTCGGATATCGCATGGCATCATATATATTAAATTTAATTATCTCGCCATCGAATTCCATGGTCAAACTACCACTATGGACATCTATCTTAGTCTTAGAGGTTTTCAAAAATGGTCTACCTAGCAAAAGCATACCGGCCTTGGAGGCATTTTTCTCCTYCATATCTATAACATAAAAATCTGCCGAAAAGACCAATTCATTCACTTGAACTAGCACGTCCTCTAATACCCCTTTAGGGTAGACAATAGACCTATCCACTAATTGGATTACCACACCGGTTGGCTTGAGGGGCCCTACATCCAAAGATGAGTAGATGGCATACGGCATAACATTAATTGATGCCCCTAAGTCCAACATGGCTTGATTTACCGAGACATTGCCTACCTTACATGGTATGGTAAACATGCACGGGTCTTTACACTTAGGTGGTAACTGTTTTTGCAAAACAGCGGACACATTTTGACTCATGCTTATCTTCTCATTACCCTTTAGTTTCCTTTTATTCGTACAAAGCTCTTTCAAAAACTTAGCATATCTAGGAACTTGCTTAATTGCATCTAATAAAGGGATGCTTACCTGAACTTTTCGAAATGTGTCAAGGATCTCTTTCTCTTCACTCTCCCGCTTTGTCTTCTCGAACCAGCTCGGGAATGGCGGTGCTTGAACTATCACTTCGGGTGTCTTGAAGTTCCTTTCCGCTTCTCAAAGTGACAGCACTCGCATTTGCCTTCGGATTCGTCTCTGTTTGAGACGGTAATTTACCTTTATTTGCTAATTGGCCAACGGTGGCCTGAAGGTCCTGAATGCTCGCTTGAGTTTCCTGTTGAAATTTCACCATGTTAGCAGCCATAGACTTAACTAAATCCTTTAATGACATACCTGAGCCACTAGGAGCTTGCGGTGACACTTGATGTTGATGTTGGGCACTCGGCTAAAATGGTGTTTTCGGTTGATGTTGTTGCTGA